CTTGGGCTTTAATTTGCATTAGCACTTACATGCATAGTAGTCCAAGTTGTTGACCTCATGACTTTAAAAAGTAACTCTAAAAAAGTAAAATGGCCCTTCTTGGGGGACTAAAGAAAGACATCCAGCCACAGTTGTAAAAAGTCTCTTGATGTCCTTTTTTTAGTTCTTTATATATTCTTAATACTAGCCTTCTACCAGATGTATAATTGGTCAAGATTTTTTCCCATTCTGTAGTCTGCCATTTTGCTGGAATGAAGGTGTCCCTTGGTACTTTTTAGTTTTATGATGTCATATTTATTAATTATTGGTTCTAAAGACTGTGCTATCAGGATCTGTTCAGAAAGTAACTTTCTGTGCTAATGAGTTAAAATGTTTTTCCTACTTCCTCCTCTATCAGGTTCAGTGTATCTGATTTAATGTTGAAATCCTTGATCCATTTGGAGTTGAGTTTCCTGCAGGGTGATAAGTATGGATCTATTTGCATTCTTCTATGTGCAGCCATCCAGTCTGACCAGCACCATTTGTTGAAGATGTTGTTTTTTGGCCTCTTTGTCAAAAGTCATGTGGCTGTAAGAATGTGGGCTTAAATTCTATTCCAATGATGGATGTGCCTGGTGTTTACACCCATGCTGTTTTTGTTGCTACATTTATATAGTATATCTTGAAATCAGTGATACCTCCAGGAGAGTTTTTATAGCATGTTTAAATTCTGGGGATCCTATGGCTTTATATATATATACACATACATACATATACATTTAAAGCTGGGCAGAGGTGGCGCATGCCTTTAATCCTAGCACTCAGGAGGCAGAGCTAGGTGCATCTCTGTGAGTTCGAGGCCAGCGTGGTCTAAAAAACTGAAAAAAAAAACTTTTTGATATCAGAAGTAATGAGTGATTGATTTCAACCTTTGGATGAGTTAATCTCTTCAAAAATCTTTCTTATTCACAAAGACTGAAGTCACCTGAAGCCCCATTTAACTGTGATATTTCCAAAGTACTTAGTTGTTTTCTTAAAGAGTTATTTATTTTTATTTTATGTGTGCAGGAGTTTTGCCTGCATATTGTCTATGTGCCATGTGCATGTAGTGCCTGTGGTGGCCAGAAGGGGGCATCAGATCCTCTGGAACTGGAGTTACATGTGGGTTCCGGAACCAAACCAAGTCTTCCACGAGAGCAGCATCTTAACTCCTGAGCCATCTCTCCAGCCCTCCTTAGTTATATATTTTAAAAAATTAAGAGAAATCAAAACCCTACAGAAATTTATTTTAGGAAAACAACAAACTAATAAAATGTATTGGGCAAGGACCAAATCAAGAGCATTTCTTACATACTTAAGGTTTATTTAATATTATCTACCTGTGTCTATACAATATTCAGGATGCTGAACACAGCCCCAGGTACTGGAGGGTCCTGAATCATCTGAAAATAGCCTTTTATCCCCCCCCCCCATTTCAGTTTCATTTTAAGCATATTAACAAGCGTTAAAAACTAAAAAGGTTTCTGGATGCCTGTTGGCAACCATTAAACTAGGAGTTTGCTCCCCCCAAGTGATTGGGTTTATAGAAGATTTACTCTAATTGGGTGAGCTGATGTTTAGGACAGTGAGTCAAGCCACTGAGAGTGTATACTAAGCACCCTACAGCAGGCAACAACCTACGCATTTCCAACTATTGGTGTAAGAGAAATTTCTCCAGCGGTTCTGGAAGGCCTAGCTGGCAGACGGCTTGATGACATGGACGACGGCCCAGGCACTTCCGGACACACAGGCGGCAGAGCTGAGAAAGAGCAGGCGGACCTGGGAGATGGAATAAAAATAGCATGAACCTCCCAGTGGGGTGGAAACTGTAAGTTTAGTTGAATGGCATAGGAATTACCAAATAATGGTAAATGGTACAAGCAGAGGATTCTGCGATGCCCTTTTGTAGAGGATGTCCTTTAAGTTTATCCTTCAACAGTGACCGCATTATTGAACAATGAGCTATCCACCGGCTAGGAAAGAAGTGGGGATCCACACAGTGCTTCTCACTCACTTTTATTGCCTGTGCTAATGGAAGTGATAGGCTGGATGAAGTGAAAAGCACTGGGGTGCAGGGCCCTAAGACAGAGCTTCAGCACAGAGGACCAGCTGAAGAGAGGGTGGGAGCAAGAAGTGTTACCTCTGTGGTTACACAGTCAGTGCAAGGAGCTGGACCGAGGGCCAAGGAGTCCTCGAAGTCCAGCCGGGGCCTCCCAGTACTAACTCCCTGTGTGGTAGACCTGGCTCCCACCTCCCACCCGGAAGGGCTCTCTGTTCTTGCAAGGGTTCCACCTCAATAAATATGTAGAAAGGACTCTACTTTAACCCCATTGTTCCCTGAATTTCGGTCTCAGCGAATCTACTTCTAAAGGGACACTTTACATTATGCCATTATTTCTTTGCTTGTCCATCAGCAAAGACTTCCTCAAGTGGATCTAGTTACTTACTGGCTTATACAGATCCTCACTGTAAGTAAAGTCTACTGTAACGGCATTATGAAAAATATGAAAAAGAGCAGTTTACATATGCAAACAGCCAGATGATACTCAAGATCGATGGGGACAAGGAACATGAGACAGAGAGCTATTCAAAGAACCACTCACCTTTAGTTAAAATGCTGGGGATTGAGAATGGAAAAGATCCCTACCCAGTGTCCCTCAAATCTGGGGCAAGCCTTCCATCAGAAACTAAGTAGCTAAGCGTATGGAGAACATATTAAAACAACGAACTGTTCAGTTCTCTCGGTGAAGCTCAAAAACAATGTTTGTGTTTATGAAGTTTGAGGACAGAGGAGCTTGTTGATAAGGAATGCAATTAAACCAAAGGGCTGAAAACACTCCCAATTGGGGGTGGGAAGGGGGGTGCTGAAGAAGAAAAGAAAAATGTAAAATGTACAAATTGTTACCAACTATGTTCTTAGCGAACAGTTGGAAAAGTACTTCCCAAACTAGGATCTAGTAAGGCAGGACACTACCCTCCAAGTGGCATTTCAAATAAAAGAGCATCTATCAATGGCCTAGACATCAGGACTAATATAGATCGGTGCAAATTAAAGTGTGGGAGCTTGCTAAATATACAGAGTTTAGGACCCCACTTGGACCGCCTTGATCAAAACCTGTATTTTAATAAGCTCCCCCCCCCCGATGATTTGTTTACACAGTAGGTTTTTTTTAAGCACTGACAGAAACTGTTTCCAAAACAATAAACCAGCCATTTCATTGGGCAGGATAGAGGCCCTGGGAGCAGTTTCCGGAAACAGGAGACCCCTTTCTATGTACATCGTTTCGGGAGAACTGGATTCAGGTCTTTCTGGGATCAAGTGGCTTGCTTAGCATCTTAGTGCTTCCTCCTAGTAAGTGTGTGATCTTCTGGAAGCCAGTTCCTCTATGCTTCACTTTTCTCATTCATAGCTAGAACAGTGTGAGTTTCTATCAACTTCTCAGCACTTTTAAGAATTCAGTGAGGTTAGTCATCTGCTAAGACGGCCATGGTGCTACTGGGTGATTTGGTCTTATGAGACCACAAGCTATATACTTGACCATTATTGATGGCCCTTGTGCAGCATGTGCCTTTATTTCTGATTTACCCACGAACTGCCTCTCAGTGTTACAAAGACCTTGGACTTATTCAATTGTGTGCTTTTCCTATGATAAATGTGGCTCTTGAATCATTTCTGGGTGAAAACAAGGTTGTCGGATTGTTTTCTTGTAGTAGAAAATAAAATGCAACAGTAAATACAGAGTGTAAAAGAAAAGTCCTAGGAAACACTGCAGTGAATCCAGGGCTTGTCCCTTCCCACAATACCATCCCCAACTACAAGAGAAAAGGAAAAATGGGGACTAGTCTAGAGATGAGACCACAGTATGCTTAGGGAGGAGAAGCAAATCCCCTATCAGGCCTGTCTTACCTTCATGGAGTAGGAGCGCCTGCTCCACACTGCTTTTGGGAGCAGCAAGATCAAGGGCGATTTTGCCCTGAGAGTTTCTGAGTTTCAGGTTAGCGCCATACTCAGTGAGCAGGTTGATGACCTCCACACTAGACTGCCTAGCAGCAGCATGCAGTGGGGTATCCAGCCACCGGCCATGGTCAACACTGGCTCCTTAATAAAACAGATGACCACAGTCAAAGCTGAGAGGGAATGTAAGACACAATGAACTATTGTCTATAAAAACATCTCAAATACTCTGGCATATTTAACCAACCTGTGAGACTATGTGACTGAAGCCTAGAACCTCAGCAATGCCTGTGAAGTCTATTCCAAAACAGATTGGAGAAAAGTGAAGTTAGGTGTTTGCACACATACACACACACACACACACACACACACACACACACACACACAATCGTAACATACAAAACAAAATATTTGAAATTCTTGTTACATGGATATTTGGAGGCTTTTAGGCAACACAGAAAGAAATTTGTTTGGCATTTATATTATGGGAGACTCAAAAAAGATTTCTAAAATCAACATAAAATAGTAAATGAAAGAATAAAATAAGTAATATAAAACATTTGGAGGTCAAATTTCTCAAGTAAAGATTCTTACTATACCTTACATGTTTATATCAGTAGCTAAATGTCTTAAAAGACTGCTTTAGCAGGAGAGAAGTCAGTCTGCTGCAAACGGCCACCACATTCCATACTCAGTTTCCCTTTGGAAAAGCATCGTCTTGTGAGTCTCAGCTGACATATCCTGAGTGAAACCTAATGACTGCAGAGTAAACTGAAATCTAGCCCTCAGCCCATCAGTAGCCTATACTGCTATCACAATCAACCGATTGGTTCAGAGATGGCCATGCATGCAACTCAAGGAGAGCCAATAGTCCTTCTTGTTACAAGCCCAAGTGTTTGTGGCAGCCATACTGCCACCACCAGGGAGAAGCATACTAGCCATATAAGGCCAGCATCAATGAAAGCAGAGCTGAGAGATAAATACTTGTTTCTCTAGATGAGTTGTGCATTTAGCTTTCAGGTATCCAATACAATAAGAATCTTATCTAGCCTGAGAAGAACGCTAACTTTAAAGCTATTTTTTAAAAAGCCAAGAGGGGAATCTGTGGTTAGTATGTAAAATGAATAGAAAAATCTCTTAATAATAAAAAAATGAAAAAAAAAAGCCTAGCAGCTTCATCTCATTAAAACTGTTCTAATAATTACCTAGTTCTAGAAGCTTCTTCACACAGTCGACTTTCTCGTAGGTACAGGCCACATACAGAGGAGTTCCTAGCTGAGGAAGCTCTTGCTCAATGTTAGCATTATTCGCCAGCAGAATCTCCATACATTCTCTGTGACCTGGTGGAATACAAAATAACCTCACTTGACCACTGTGGTGGCACACGCCTTTAATCCCAGAACTCAGGAGGCAGAGGCAGGCGGACCTCTGTGAGTTTGTGGCTAGCCTGGTCTACAGAACAACTTCCAGGACAGCCAAGGCTACACAAAGAAATGCTGTTTCAAAAAAAAAAAAAAAAAGACAACCTCATTCAAACAGGGACAAGGTGAATATGCACAGAATTTCAGGATTGCTTTCTAGAATGGGCTTTTGAAATAACAGATATTTGGGGCACTAGAGAGATGGCACAGCAGTTAAAACTCTTGCTGCTGCTCTTCCAGAGGACCTGGGTTCAATTCCCAGCACCACATGGTGGCTCGCAACTATTTGTAACTCCAGTCTCAGGGAAATGATGCCCTCGTCTAGCCTCTGAGGGCACTGCATGCACATGGCACACAAACACACACAGGCAAAACACCCATGTGCACAAAATAAATAAATAAAAATCTTTAAAAAGAAGCAATAGATATCCTCCCTATATTAGAAGAAAAACACTTAAGTTTTTGGAATCATAAGCAGAAATCTGCAAAACAAAACGATGAAAATGTTTCTTCCAGGGAACTTTTTTTTTTCAGTCCTGGGGTAACTTCAGTGAAACTCAAGACTCTAAGGAACATAGCTGACCTCACTCTCTATCATGAAACCACCACTTTACAAATGGATGGCTATAAGAAGGAGAGGGATAAATGGCCTTTGTTATTACCAGCACTTAAACCAAAGCTCAGTCCTATTCCCAAGCTCGATCCTATTCCCTCTCCATTACTAAACTCTCAATCTCTTCTTCATCCACCCCTGTAAAAGAGAACCTGTGCTGGGGGATGTCTTTCTGTACACTGTGAATGTATGTTGTTCCCATTGGTTAATAAATAAGCTGTTTGACCTATGGCAAGGCAGCTTAGAAGCAGGTGGGAAATCGAAGGAGAGAGACAGGAAAGAGAAAGGCAGAGTCTGGAGAGATGCCACCCTGCCACCCAAAGAACAACACACCAGCAGACCAGTAAACCATGGAACATGGGTTAATTCAAGATAAAAGAGCTAGCTAGCGAGAGGCCTGCCATAGACCATACGGTTTGTAAATAATATTAAGCCCCTGAGTGAATATTTTATAAGTGGCTACAGGACTGTGGGGCTGGGTGGGACCAGAGAAACCTTCTAACTACAATCCTGCAATTTTATTTGGTTAGACTGGAAGACACAGATGAGAATGAATCCAAACCTTCAGGTACAGAATATACTCAAATGAATTTACAAATTCTCTGGCTAGGGAGAACTCCATAAGTAAGCATTCTCTGTAGAGACTTTGTTCAATGACAGGATAAACATGATTAATTTGAAGTATATCAATTAATCCTTCATGAAGGAATGCTTCTGTGTTGCTGATGAAAGTTTGATGATAGTTTTGAATGTTCCTCAAAAGTTGTACCCTGAATGCCAGGTGGTGGTGGTGGCGGCGGCGGCGGCGGCGGCGGCGGCGGCGGCGGCGGCG